AAATACAAGAATCCCCCACAATTAATTAGAAGTAAATATTTTAAATAAAAAAACTGAACCAATGGCCCGGCTTTGTTTGTCTGGATTCAGTTGCACATGACTCAAACCTCTTTTGATGTAAAAAGAAAATTTTGGACACATAGAGGTATCCACTAACACAACCCATAAAGCAAACAAAGGAAGAGAAAAGAAAACTAAAAAATGGAAAAAGAAAGGGAAAACAAAACAAAAGAATTATCTTCTGATCTTGCCACAATTCCACCTTCGTTCCCTCTTTAGATTCCTCCTCTTTTCCTTGCCTTGTTTAGGCTTGGCATGCTTCCTTGTGTGAGAGAGAGATACATGGTAATTATATATACAAATAAATAATAATAATAATAATAGTAATAATAGTCTAAATTTGTATCATATTTTGTGTAGCAAGAAAAGTTTCAAATGATATTGCAAACCATAATGGCTCAAATCCTTAGGGGCATTCGTTTTGACTGTAGATTAAAGAAACTTGGTTCTAAAATCTTTAAAGAATTTTATTTATTAAAAAAATTCTTTGAAGAAATTTTCACAGTTATAAAAGAAGTGTTGGAGTTGGAGTATATATAAATTCCTCAGTTTTTGTCAAGAAAGAGAATGATATGAATATATTATAAATCACTAACAAAGCCACTATTAATAAACCCTACAATGTACACTTGTGTTTAACCAATGATAGAGTACATGTGCATAAATTGTTGTAGAATCTGCTTGGTTGGCAAAGTTTTTATCTCGGACGTATCCGACTAGATCTTCTCATTTTCATTTTTTTTTTCAGTTCAATGAGAAAAAATTTCCTTCACCTACTAAATAAGTAGAGGTACATCACAAACTTGGGCATACCCAAGTTTACAAAATATATACTAAAGATAAAACATATAAAATTTATACGAAAGCTGGAAAATTACAACTCATATAGGCTGTTAACCCACAGACCAAAGTTATCAGAAATAGAAGCATGAAGAATAATAATAATAAATAATAATAATAAACTTTGATATATTTGATTAGGGCTTCAACAGGCCTTTTACTATCAGTACGTAAATTAACAGTTGTTTCTCTCAAGCCAAATAGCGCAGACTACAATAACCAGATGAGCTAACCTTCGGACTTGATGAACATAGTTAGAACCCCTCAAACTTGTAGACATCCAAAGGATCACACCATCCCAATCTCAGCTTTTAAACTGAAAATCAAGCCAATTCATGTCTCATTCCACATTAAAGAACTATAAGGACATGAGAACATAAGTCGTTGCATGTGGGTCTCAGAAGAAGAAGTACACAGAGCACACATTTACGGTCAGCAATGTTCACCCCAAATTTTATCAGCCTATCATATTTGTGCGACCTTTGCTATAATTCATGCAATAAAAGAGTATGCATGTGGAAAAGTTGAGCTTACGCCAAATAATGCCATGCCATGGAGCTCCTGAGGAATATGGCAAGTAGAGCTTGATATGAAAGAATATTAACTTTAAATTCCCCACAAATAACACATATCCATTCAGAACCTAAATTAAAGAACACCATCAATAGGCCCCCATTTTGAGATAGCAGAACTCCTAACTTTTAGGATTTATTTCCAAAGCCAAGAGGAATTTTGTACAATAGGGATCGACTGTCCATGTAGTATTCCTTTTTAAATAGTTCTCATGGATCCATTTGATCCACAAAGTATCTTGTTTGTGATGAATAGCCCATAAAACCTTAAGAGCATATGCAATATTCCATTGAGCTGTGGAATAATCTCCCAGACCTCCAACTGAAAGGTCACTACAAACTTGAAGATAAATTACTGCAGAGAGAATCAATTTTCTTGAAGACCAATTTAGGAAGGAGGAAGTTTGAGCACCAGAAAACTTGAACACCCACGAGGAGACTTTTAATGAGTTGCAATTTAGCTGTGTAGAAGAGACTTCTTTGTTTCTAGTTTTGAAGGTGTTCTGTGATTTTCAAGAAAAGGGCATCACAGGCAAAAAAAAAAAAAAACAATCTCTTAGGGGGTGGGGTGTTAGTCAATTGAGACATTTTCATACAAAATGAGATAATTGTTAAAATAGAATAATTTTTCGTTAGTGGAATGTTTTAGTGAGATAAATAGGAACAATTTTGTGAAGCGGGATATTTTGATAAAATAACGTTGGATAAATTTTTATAATCATGAAATATATATTTATGCATTTTGAAGATATAAATACTATTTATGTATTTTAAACTTACTATTATTGTTTGATAATTGCTTACAAGAATGCTCTTGACTATTAAATAACTTATGGTTAGACTATAAGATATTAACAATTATTATTATAATGATGGTCTAATGATGGTGATAACCATAATAGGAAAGAAGTAAATAAAAAATATAAAAAATAAAAAAATAACAAAATAAATATGAGTTCTAGTTTTTTACCACCTAGTTCCAAGCTAAAACTTGGAATAATTTGAGAGACTAGAACTCTCATTTTTGTATAGAAAAATAAAAAAAATTAGGATAAATTTTGTACCATTATCTCAATTCTAGTTTGGTTAGAGTTCTACTTGACTAACACTGTAAAATTTTATTCTAGTTTTAGTTTTATGTAACTATATAACACCTTAAAAATTTATCTCATAGATTATCCCAGTTCCAATTTTAAATTCTAGGTGACTAACCCCATCTTACAGAAACATGGACATCCCTAAATATGTAATAGGGAATTTACATACCATAGGAGAGATCTTCTCCTTTTCCTCTAGCAAACAATCTGCTTTACAATAGAGAAACAACGAGAAAAGCAAGATCAAACAAATAGAAACCACAATAATCACTTAAAAAAGTAATACTAGATATAAATTAATATGCATATTTACATGGTTCGGCAATTGCCTACATCAATGGGAATAGATTTTAGTTTTGTTTATTCTTATAATTATAGAAGATTTGGCATTCTTGTATTCTATAAGAAATTAATCCGCAAGATACTCTCTCGCAATATCATCAAAGATCCTTACAAATCCTAGAATAATCTTAGGATTCTCTCTTTCATTTTTTCCTATAATTCTCTTACAATACGTAACTTTCTTTCGGCTCCTAGGGGCTGTTTGGTTGCACACTTTTTTAGAAAACTTTTCTCAAAACATCTGACAATGACAAATTTGTAATTAAAAGTTTTTCAGAGATTTCTGTAAATTGTGTTTGGTTCAACAAAAAATTTACAGAAATATTTTCTATAAAATATCAAAACCTACCAAATTTTACAAAAAGCAATTTCTTCTTAAAATGAGAGGAAATCACCAGAAATCTGACACATACCATATTTAATTAAAAACCTATCAAATCTTGTTATTTTTTATAAAGTTAAGAGCTATTTTCTTGTTTTGAACCAAACAAGCAAAGTACAAAAAACAAGAAAATTTGTACTTTTTGATTTCTCAAAACTATTCCTATAATTTTTTTAAGAAATACAAGGAAATCATATTTTAGGTGGAAAACATTTCCTATAATTTCTAGAAATTGAACCAAACACCCCCTAAAACTAACTCTTGACCTGGAAGACTTGTATTCGAAAAAAAAGAAAGTCGGTCCAAGCACCACTCTACTCCCCAAAACATCGATCACTACTGATTTTGTTCTGCGTTTGGATTTTCCTTTGTCTCATGGACTGAAATACAAGACTAAATCCCAATATATATAAATAAAGTTAGCAAGACTCTAAAAAAAATGAAACCCATCAAATTCAAACCACCTTCTTTCACATTCTAGACCCATTTTAAAATGTATTTTGAAAGATAATAGTGAAAACTTTTCTAAACCCTAACAATATTTGTACTTAACCAATAAAAGAGTATCCGCGTAAAAAAAAAATCAGAAAATACTCAAATGATACTATCAACATCCGTATTCAAACTCTAGAGGTTTCTTAAACAGATTCAACAAAAAAAAAAAAAAAAAAAAATCTACCACAAAGCGCTGGTTTTGAACATTTAAATAGATCCTCACTTGATTTTTTTTTGGGTCAATGAAAAGGTATTTATTCATCATCCAAATGTGAAAAAATCAGCACATCAAGATCCTCAGCTTGAACTGAGAATACAAAAAAAAAACTAATCTACTAATACATCACTCATACTCTAAAAAACTACAGAGAACAGATACATTCTCTGTCTTCAGCAGTAAATGGACCATTGAGAATAATAGTTAAGATGCTAAATTTTATCTCCTTAAGCACTTGATCAGCTGGTTTCAATTTCTGTTTGAAAATTCTGCCGTTCCTCTCATTCCAAATGTGATAGATTGTTGAGGTAAAAGCCAATTTCTTTAGCTTTTGTTTAAACCCTCTTCCCCTCAACCTGTGACAGAACCAGTTTAACACTTGATTCCAGTTGTTCGATCTCCACTTGAACTGTAACCAATTCATAACCTTGGTCCAGATATCACTAGAATAAGAACATTCGAAAAAAAGATGGTCTCTGCATTCCAGACCAGAGCATAATACACAGCTGTTTATGCTAACAATCCCCCTCCTGATCAGCCTATCCTGAGTAAGCAAACGGTTTTGGATTGCTAACCAGCTAATAAAAGCATGTCTGTGGTAGTTTGAAGATTCCCATATTGTACCAAACCAAGGCACCAAATTAGGTGTAGGGGAGAGTGCAGCATATAAGTCAGAGAGTTTAACTTTTGCATTTTTGTAGCAATAAGAGATGGTCTGAATCAGATTATCAATCCCTCCAAAAAGCCCCTGAGCCTTGTCTCTGATCTTTAAGATCTGTCTCCACATCCACGAATCAGTTTTTTTAGCCTCACTTGATTTGTAAAGGAGCTTTAATTAGAGCACAAATTCTTCAATATCCTCATTACCGTTGGTCACCGTTGGAAATCAGTACTCAGATCATAAATAAAATTAAACTTAATCTCATCATAATTTCAGAATTTTGATATAATAAAGAAATATAAATAGAGAAGATACTAACCCTTTGATGCTTAATTACAATTTTAGTTACACCCACAACTATGGAAATTGATCATGATGAGAATACAATGATGATGACCCAATAGCACTCCCACCCCTCCCTTGAACCCTAGAAGCACTATTACTACCGCTGATCCCCTCCTCCTCCCTCCCTTGATCCAAATGCTGCTGCACACCATGCATCCCCAAATTCAAGTACACCATCCTCCTATCCAAGCTCAGACTCGTCATCCTCGTCGCCGCCGCCGCGGTCGGCGGTGCGCCGCTCGCCGCTATCATGATTCCGCTTATCCGCCGCCTGTACACCGCGCCAACCTGCTTCCCTGGCGACACTCAGCCATCGCCCCGGCAGACTGCACAGCCTCCAGACAAACTCTCGCTTATTCGGCTCAACATGATTCAGCCACGGCATGCCCCTTTAAACAAAAAATCGGAACTCAGGTGACCGGACACGTCCACATGGGTCACTCCGTCGACTGTTCGAAACATTCGGTGTCGGCAGTGTGGGTCAAGCAGCAGCAGGCGACCATGTCGGGGCAGACATTCTCGGCTGCCGCGTGGAGGCGGGGTCTGCCCCCGGGCCCCGCCGGGTGGTTGACGTCCGGCGGCCCGAGCCTCTAGGAGGGCACTTGACGACTCGGGCTTGCAGTTCTCGACGGCGTAAGTGGAGGGCGAGGGGCGTCGTCGAGGTTGAGGCCCTCGCCCCATGACCATTGAGCTTGACGGAGCTTCACATCGGAGCGAGTCAGAGGGCGCGGCGATGCGAGTGGTAAGATTTAGTGTGGTGTCGGTCGTCGAGGGTGCGAGTGGGCGGTGGTGGAGGTGGAGGGGGAGGTGGGCGGAGTCATCGATCCTAGATGACATGTTCCGAGGGGGAGGGTGTTTTGGAGCAGGATTTCGGAGGCGGAGGCCGAGTTGGCGACGCGAGGCGGGAACAGGTGGTGTCAGCAGCTGCTGGAGGTCTTGCTTCCGGGAGGCGATGAGGACCTTCATTACATCATCTATCGAGGCTTTTTCAACAATGCTAGCCAGTTGTTTCTGCCCATAGACATACATACATACATAGTCAGTGTAGAATATAGTCAGATCTCTTTAAATATATGAATATTAAACGTACAGCAAATAAGCCAGGGGATTTGGAATTAATATAAGCACAATGGTAATTAAAAAATAACTTTAATTTGAACTTATTTATGAATTACTATATATACACGAGAATTAAGAACTCAGCTGCATCAAGTCAGGGTATAAAGGAGAATGACTGTATTAAATAGCCAAAGGCTGACATACAAACTAGTCGGATCTCTGGGAATATGCATGAATCCTAGAGAACTACATGAACCTTTTTTTTTTTGAGGGGAGGTTTCTCTCTCTCTCTCTTGTTAAAGGCTTTGTCGTTGCTATTGTAATGTGAAAGGATGATGAAATTAACTAACGAAAATGGCTTGAGATTTGAGCAATTGAAAAAGGATGCCTGTTTGTTTTGCATGAAATATGAAGATATGGGCTAGCTAGTGAGCTATCTAGATGCTAGAAATCGGGAATCATTGCATGCAAAGGGTCGATGGTTATTCTTGAAAAAGTGAAACCCTACCTAGGTTGATTAGACCTCATGCATAA